TTATGTGCATTGATTTATTCTAATTTAATATACTCCTTCAATCTCTCCTGGCCTGATAATCTGTGTTAAGAAATCTGCAGTTATTCTTAGAGGTTTATCTTTAGAAGTTATTTCATATTTCTCTCTAATGGATTTTAGTGTTTTTTCTTTGTTGTAATTTCTTGGATTTTTCCACAATGCAATGTGGACAGTTTCTTTTCTGGTTGTAGCTACTTGGAGTTTTAAATGCCTCATTATCTGGACATCCATTTCAGTGCCTAGACTTGAAAGTTTTGTGCAGTAATTTGAGGGAATAAGAATTTTAGACCTTACTGTGTTTCTCCAGCCTTTCATTGACCTCTGTGATGCTTAGGTTATATATTTAGAACCATTTGTGTTGGGCAGGGTTGGAGCTCTAATTTTTCCCTTATCAAAGTTGATTAGACTATTTAGAGTCTTTTTATTTTTACAGAAATGTCAGAATCAAAATTTTAATCTATGTGAAAAATGATGTTGACAGTGTGACATGGCATTGTGTTTTATGATCATTTTATTTTCCTCTATTCATTTTTGGTTTCATTCTGAATTTTATTTTTATTAACTGCCAGATAGCTATTGGGGAGGTGTAAAATTTTGAGGCATCTTATTGGCTGGTGTTTCTTTGTTCCTGTGTTTTTCTGCTGAATGTTGTAGGTCAGTTGGGCTAGAAACTTCTGCTAATAGAGATAACGAACATTGAACTGTAAAGAAAGGACAGTTTATGGTAATATCTACCCACAAAGAACATTATAGCATTTAAGACATACTGGCACTGAAACTGGTTTATTTAGAATATGTGTGTTCTCTTGATCCTGCTATGGTAATTCTTATGTATCAAAAAATCTTTCTATTTCTACTCCATTTGTCTCTTACTAGCTGCCAATTGTTGAGGCAGGAACAGAGAACTTTTAGGATTTCTGTGAGATCTGTTGTCATTTCACCATTTTGATTCCCAACTTCATGGATTTGAGTCTTTTCCTTCCTCTTTTTGATAAGGAGTTTTTTTCCATCCTATTTAATCTTTCATAGAAGCAACTATTGCATTCATGGATTTTTGCTTTGATTTCTTAGTTTCCATTTCTTTAATTTCTGTTATGATTTATAATTTCCTCCTTCATATGATCTTCAGCGTTAACATGCTCTTCTCTATCTATAAGCTTGAGGTTCAACAGTAAGTTAATTATTTGAGCTTGTTCTGTTTTCCTGATAAGTATATTCAATGCTAAATATTTCCCTTTTAGGACTACTTTCAGCGTGTCCTGTAATTTCAAGTATGGTTGTACTACTGTTATCTTTTAAGTGTATAAATTGTCCAATTTCTTTGTTAATTTCATCTGTGACACATTGGTTTTTTAGGATGGTGTTATTTAATTTCCATTTGTTTATGGAGCACTTGTGGTTTATCCCTTTTCTCTCAGTCTCTCTCTGTCTCTCTGTCTCTCTGTCTCTGTCTCTCTCTCTCTCTCTCTCTTTCTCTCATCCCTTCCTTTCTTTTTATGTATCTGGAATTGCACTCCATACTTTGCACTTGCCAGGCAGGCACTTATGTCTCTGAGCTATATCTGTGTACTAGTTCTTTGGTTTCCTTTGCCATTGATTTCCAATCTCATTGTTATGTGATCTGATAATATGCATGGGATAGTTTCAGTTGAGTTACATATACTTTAGTTTGTTCTATGAGAATATTTTCTATTTAAGAGTATGTCCCAGAAAAAGTGTCAGTGGAGCCCTGTTGTATTTAAGGAACTCATTAGTATTTGTAAAACTATTTCATTTTCTGATAGAGATTTTTTTTATTACTTGGTGTGGTCACCGATTCAGTTGAGAAGAGAATAATAAGCTCCTGATGTCAGGTACAAGAGAGGAGAGTTGCTGCAAGGTACAGAAAGGCTTGTGTGCTGTAATTGCCTGAGGATGGGGTTAGGCAAGAGGATGGGAAGAACTGGGAATCAAGCTTGATGAACTAAGAAAATGACCTTGAACATCATATTCTGAGGAAATAATGCTACATGTGAGGCATCATATTCTTCACAGCTTCAGTGGTCTGAGGTATTGCAAAGAGATCTACACTTGTTAAACCACATCGCAGAGTGACAGAAACATCCCCACACTCCCACAGCCAGTGTACTTGAGTTTCTGTTAGTTGCCCAGATATCAGTTCCTGCTACTTCTGTTTCTTAGAAACAGCTGGTCACTGTGATGCACAGCTGGTCTTATCAAACATATTACAAAAACCAATCAAAGACAGCCACGGACTCTACCTCTCTACTTCCCGTTTGAAACCCCATAAAAACCTCTCTGCCTGAGTCACAGTGGTAGCTCAGTTCACAAATGCTTTTGCTTGTCAATAATTTGGTTTCCAAACAGAAGCATTTGGCAAAATTCTGTTTGTTTACAAACTCTTCATCTGGTGACCAACATGACTGCGGCCATCTATTTTAGACAGATGCAACTGTGGCCATTTTTCCCAGAATCAGGGAACAGATTAAATTTGTCAACTGACGTACCACTGTAGTTAGCCCAAAATATGTCACTAAAAGTGACCATTTAAAAAGATTTCTACACTAGCAACAAAGTCTTTACACTAAAACCATCCATAAATTTAACACAAAATAAAACAAAAAGCCCAAGAGAAACGGGGGACTAAAAGGCAACAGAATGCCTCCAGAATCTCTTAGCTCCATGAAGCCAATCCAGGGGATAGAGAACAGGATAAGCCACACATGAGAATTACTTCAAAGGAGGTTGGAAAACAGATCAGAGAGGTACACAGAGGGACCACAGAAGACATAACGAAGCAGATAATGGAAGTAATAACCAAAGTGATCCAGACGCTTCCAGAAGACACAAATAACAAACTAGCTGAGCTAAACAAAACTATACAAAGCATAATGACAAGTTTAGAAAAAAAATTGGAGTCCATAAGAAGGTTAAAATCAGAAATCCAGGTGATTAAAAATTATATTGAAAGTTTGGGCTGCAGAAATGACCAGTGTGAGAACAGAATTTCAGAACTCGAAGGCAGTGGTGCTTTCAGAGACCAACTACACAAACCAACAAGACAACATGAAAAATGGACTCAACCACTGGATGACACAAAAAAGCCTATGAGTAATTGGAAAAAGCGATAAATCAGAAGATAACACTAACAGCATAAAAATATTCACTGAAATAATGGCAGAAAACTCCCCAAATACAGGAAAAGAAACAAGCACACCAATAAGTGGAGGCATGATCAAAAGAGAGCTTATTATACTTTTAGTACCAGAAACCTATCACAGGAGACAAACTCTTAAGTGCTATTACAGAAAAGCAACAAATTACATGGAAAGGTAAACGCATTAAAATTACACCAGACCTCTCAACACAAAACTTCAAGGCCAGGAGGACTGAAGTGTTTTGAGCTCTAAAAGATAACTTCCAAACCTGACTTATGCATCCTGCAAAACTCTCCTTCATAACTGATGCAGACATAAAGTATTTCCATTACAAGAAGACAAGATATTCATGGCCACCAAACCAGCATTACCAAAAACTTTCAACTGACTTGAAGATAACAATCTCTAATTATTGTGCTTTGAAATTTTGTTTGTTTTTCTTTTTTTTCTCTTTAAAGTAAAATAGATTTAAAAAGAAACAAAAATTTTAAGGGTATTTCTGGAAAACAACAATAAAGCCAACAATGTCAATAAATCAAAAAGAATGAATATACCCGGTGTGATGAGCAGTTAAGCAAAAGAAAAAAAAAAGGAAAGGAATATCAACAAGAATAAGTCGATAGTTTTCAGTAAAAACTCTCAGTGTGAAATGGTTTCAATTCCCCACCAAAAGACACAGACTGGCAGAACTGATCCAGAAACAAAATCCTATGATACGCAGGAATCAAGAAACACATTTAATTCAAAAAGAAATTCACAGATTAAAGATCAAAAGATGGAAAATAATATTCCACGCAGGAAAAGAGAAAGAAGTAGTGATCCTAACTTTATTTTTTTTATTTAAAAGAAAAAAAAAAGAAAAAACAGTATAATGGTACAAGTAATACAGAATTGCAAAAAAAGGTAAGAAATTATAATAGATTACATATTGTCATCTTAGAAATAGTTGTTCAAGTTACAGTATTAAAGCATACAAAGTGGACATTCAAACAGTGAGACTGCAAACAGTTGTGTTCAGTGATCCAACAAAAATTTAGTAATATGCTCATTTATCTTAACACACCTAAACACACTTGCAGTTGTATCCTTTAGATCACTTTTTTTCTCTGTTTTACAACAAAACCCAAAATGTGTAAATTTTGTAGTGATATTAACTTTAGACAAAGTGGACTTCAAGCCAAAACTAGTCAGAAGAGACAAAGAAAGTCACTACACATAGGTGAAGTGAATAATTCCATAGGAAGGGATGACGATTATAAACACACTGAATAATAACATGCCCAACTTCATAAAACAAATACAGACAGGCAAAGTTAGATAAATATTAACAAATGGTAAAGGAGGATCTCGGTAATAACCCACTGTCAAAAACAGATCATTTGAGAACTGGGCTCCTAAATCAGGCAAGATGCAAGATTGCTCAAGGTGCAATTTATTGTCAGCTTACAAGACAAAAAGTCCTGTTTTTCTAGGATTTACTCAGTGGCACGTGTTTTTCTTTAAAACTGGAGACACAAGGGACACAGGAGAGGGGAGGTAAAAAGATTTAAGATGTCCTAGTACAGGTACCAACTCTCCATGATGAATTTAAGTACAACTAACTTACTAATAAAAATAAAAGTTAACAGAACAAAAATGACACACAGCCCTCTTTATGGTCAGCTAAAAACCAAAATCGCCTTGATGGGTACAGAGCTACTATTTCTGTCATTTTGAAGATCCCCATGTAAATTGGCATGGTCTAAACCCACACTGTTAGCCCTGTTACAGCTTCACCCTGCTGTACAGGGATGATCTCCAGGGATTACGCTGCTCTCTACTCACCAACAGGAGGCTTAACGGGAGGAAGTCCTGACTGTCGCAGAATCCAACTTCTGTGTTTCTGATACACTGCCTGTTCCAACAACCATGAGAGGAAGTGTGCAAAAACAAAGTGCTGTTAGTTTTAACACTTCACACGGGGCACAGGTAAGACACACATCTCCACACCTACAATGGTGTCTACTGAGGAATCCTAAGACTGCCTGGGAGAGTGAGGCAAGAGCATCAGAGGGCTGCCCAGAGTGGTTCTGTCACCACCCAAGGGGACACTGGCACCTAAAATAGCAATAGGGCCCCTTGGAAGTGCAAACCACCTCAGTGTGCACATACAGAAAGGACAACCACCTAACATAGCTACTCTGCAGCTCCTTAAGCCACACTTTGATATAGCAACTGGACTATTCCTTGTGCCCTACAGCTAGACCTCCAGGAATGAATGGGGTGAATCAGCAGCACGAAGGGGAGGAGGGAACCCCAGCTGCTCTGCAGGCACTGCTCTCAGGGTGGGTTGCAGGCAAAGAGGCACAGCCCAGAGGCCATGGCCAGTGCTTCTCAGAAGACTAAAGCTTGTCTCAGTTTCTACAAAAAAGGATGGAGAACACGGAGGCAGGGGTCCTTGTTTGACAAACACTGGGTGGCTAAACAGGCAGTACAGCCCTGTCACAAACTGGGTAAAGAGCTTGCAACATCTTCTGCAGATATTTACACTCCCAGTTGTACAGTGTTTTGTTTTCCTGCAAGTATACCAGGAATACTTCTTAGCAACATCTTGCCATAGCTCTAGAAAAGACAGATAGCTGGCCGTGTTGGTAAGACTGGGCAGTCATTGTAAACCTTCATTCTAAAGTCTAGGAGACATGCTGTAATTTATCTTATACTCTCCACCTCGCAAGTCATTTGTAACAGTCCACCTTCTTACCAATGTGGCATAGACATCTTCTATGTAATTTACCCTGACAACTTTTTCTATTCAATCCATTTAAATTTAGTGTTACACAGTTTGCCTGCACATGCCTGTAATCCTAGCACTCTGGGAGGTTGAGGCAGGAAAACTCCAAGTTCAAACCAGGCCTGGACAATTTAACAAGACCCTTTCTGGATAATAAAAGAAGGGGTGATGTGTAGTACAGGTAGAAGGCTCCCTCCCCAGTACCACCCCAAACCCCAAAACAACAACCACAACCACAAAAATGCCTCCAAAAAAACAAATCAACAACAAACAGACTCATTAATACTACCCTTTATTTTTGTTTTGTTTTGTTGAAACAAGGTCTCCCTGTGTAGTTCACACTGGCCCTACAATCCCTGTGAATTCGAGGCTGGTACTGAGCTCTCAGCAACCTTCCTGCCTTAGCTTCCCCAGTGCCAGGATTACAGGTGATCTCCACACCCAGCTATGTTAATATTGCTTGCAATGTTCAGAGAGAAAATGTGATTCTTATAGTGAAACAGAAATTGAAGGTACAGGGAAAACAACAGAGTACTCATTTAGACTATTTAGTAAGCCAATGGAAATTAAGCTCAAGGCCCGTCACAGCTTACTTACTTATCTATTTTATTTATGATACAAGGTCTTCCTATGAAGCTCAGTATAGCCTTAACCTGGATTTATGATTCACATACATCTCAGATTCATGATTTTCCTGCCTGAGCCTCCCAAGTACTGGAATTACAGGCATGCACTTCCATGCCTTGCCAACATTTGTAAGACACCTTGAGGGAGAAAGTGTTAATTCTTAAGAACTTACTAGTTAAAAGACACACTGGAAAGTGTTCAGCTTTAAAAAGTTTATATAAATGTATTTTTCTCTGATTTTCATACAGGCAAGAAAGAGAAAAAAGGAAAACTACCTACACAGGGGGCTAACAACAGGAAACTTGTAACAACCCCACTGGTACAGTTTATACAGCACAACCATGTACATCAGGAATGAGAAGGAATGAAGTCTCCACCTAACACTGAGATTGTCAGCAATGCACGAGGCTCAGGACTCCATCAGCTTCACCCACATGACACATTGAAGCATCAAAATCACATTACTATGATGCCCAAGTTACAGATATGGAAACTGAGGCACAGCACAGCTGCATGACTTGCTCAAGGTCATGTCCCTGCTACCACAAGAGCTGGATGTGGATGTGGGCTCTCTCAGGACCCTATCAGTGCCTTTTACTAGGTGGGCAGGACTGTCAGGGACTCAAGGTCTCCTCTCAGCCAACTGCACTCTTCAGTCAGCAGTTACATAAGGGCCATCCCGACTGCACTGGAAAGGTCAATGCCTTGCCATCTCTCACTGAGAAGGCAGCAGGGCTGCCCTAGCGGTCTCCACAAGGCTTCTGCCTTCTTCCCTGTCCCTCTTCAGGTGGCACAAGGTAAGTATATGGAAAGATAACACTGGAGGGAAGGGAAAAGGAAAGACAGAGTTGGCAGAAGCTGGAAGTTGTGAGCTAAAGTTTACTCTGCCATTTCTTCTAGTGTGGAGAGAAGTCCCAAGTGTCACACTGCAATTTTCCTGGCAAGCCAGTGCTGCCTGCCACACACTGCACCCCACAGGTGCATCAGCCTCAGCCCTGAGAGCACAGATGGGTGCTCCACTTTATTAGTTGGGCAAGGATGCTAAGGTTCAACCAGACAGATTTTTTAAAAATTCTATTATTGTTGTTAACCATTTTCCAACAAATGTTAGGGCTAATCCTGAACCATTGACACCTGGGCATGCAACCAAACTCAGATGCTTTGTAACACATACAATGGCCACTCTAGGTAATTATTAGCGCGCACATGCTCCCAGCCAGTGTTGCATTACATGGCCCACCACATACCATCCATCTGGATCTCATTGGGCTGCACAGAGTGGGAAGACTTGGAAGAAGAGACTCGGAAGTTTGCAGGGAGTGTCTCTGATGACCCAGTTGCCACGCCATGAATGGCCTTTTCTCTAACCTTCTCTCTCCATGAAGGTGCTCTCCTAAAGTGTTTGTCATGCTCCTGGCAAATGAAAACACAGAACAGGCACACTCTAATAAAGATAACTGTCCTTCAGAAGGACTCCTAAGCCCCTGACTGTTTTGCTTTACTTAGCCTTTCCTGGTGACCTTCCAATGTGCTGCACACACTGGAACTTCAGTGTGAGAGGAAACATGATTACATTCCTGCTGGGCCCCAACTGGAGAAACGAGGGCAGTCCTGGGCACCAGGGATGTGATTTTCTCACCCATCAGAATATTTTATTTCTTACTGTGGACAAGCTCTTGCCTGCTATATAATGTACTTTTATTTATTTTCAAAATATTCTGGCTACAAATAATCCAACAAATGCTTTGCTTCCAGATTCAGCTTCCATCTTCTTTGTGAAAATCAAGTACTCTTGGAGCTCACTGAAGACAATCGTAATGTATGGCAACAGGTTAGTTATGATTTAGCATGAGGGGAAATTTAATATACTTTTGAAAGAAACCTTCCAAACAGAAGAACTGGGGCAGGACAGTCAGCTGTCACCAAAACACAACTTAAGACTTTGATCGCAGGCTGCAATCTGTTTGACAATATAGAAATAATTTTTGAAGGTTGCCAAAAATTAAGTAGTGGACCAAGAGCAAGGATCAGTAGTAGAGCACTCAACTGGCATATGTGAAGCCCTGAGGTTGATTCCTAGCAGTGAGAGGAGAAAAAAGCTGAAAACTTACAACATCAAAACGTCTGACAGTCCCAAGGACCAAAAGGTCGGCAAATTCTTTGTCCAAGACATTTCGAGCCTGAAGTAACAAAACAACAACTAAATATATCTGAAGGATGTTACACATTACAATTTTTTAAAACAAAGACTTCAAAGACTCACATGCTTGCAACACAAACTGGAAAGAAAAGATAGTGAAAAATCAAGCATTTGCTTATTTTGAACTACCATATTATAGATTAGTTATGGAAAGTGATTACTAGTTGTCTAGAGTTAAATTTTCTCTCCATTCAAATGAAAAATAAGTATTCTAGAACCACAGAAAAACCGAACACTGTGGCTAAGCAGACAGAGGCACAGACTCCGTTGTCACCTTTCTGTTCTCTGTCGGGATCTGTAACAACAGGGCCAATGTGTTGTAATCGAAGGCTTCATCTAAGGCCAGCTGTGCGCCATGAACCCCACTCTCTATGAGGTTGTTTGCATATTCTTTAAGGCCAATGGATATGACCCAGCGAATCACTCGATCATTGCTCCAAACAAGCACATCTGTGAAAGAACAAAACAACTGTAAATGTGGCTTCAGAAAACCTCTTCATCATACATGTCCTGCAATGCAGGGGAAAGATTCCTAGCATGGATCTTGATCCCTCAGCTCCTGAAAATGGACTCCACACTCACAAATACTGACAGACACACACCTAGACACAGCTGTTTTGGTTCTGCCTCATTCTAATAAAAACTTTCCCTTTAGAAGCCTCCCCTAGTGCACTCAGGTGTCACAGTAAGATTGTGGATAGGATATATTCAGGGAACAATACAGCATGATTGGCTGAGGATGTAGCTTGGTGGCAGATCACTTGCCTAGTATGTACAAGGCCTGGGGTTCAATCCTAAGACTGCAAAAACATCAGGCTGAGGGTCAGAGTCAGACCTAGCACGTATAAGCATGTTTCCTACACAGACCCCAGAGTCTCCTGAAATGCTTCTCCATCATGAAAGGGGCAGATACCATGACAGTTCAGATACCTTGCTGAGTTCAACACAAACTCTTTGCTTCTGACCTTCTGACCTTCGTTTTCTTTTACTTTTTCTTGTTGTTGTACTGGGAATCAAACTCAGAGCCTTGTGCTTACCAGGTAGGTGCTAAGCCACTGAGCCATACCCCAGCCCCTGTGCTTCTGAAGCTTTGGTCATATCAACATCTTAATATATTACAAAGAAAGAATTTTAAAGACATTCCAGCATATTAGATTTTGGCAATCGTATATCATACAAAGGTAATTATTAAATGTATTCTATTACAGACCAAAAAATTGCCACTCTGTAAAAATATATCTGACCACCAATCTTTTCAAAGACTGCTTTTGCCAACTGACAAAATATGGAGAGGGGATATAGAAAACAAATTAAATGGATTAATACATTTCATGTCTGATTTTTTTTCTCAACTTTGTTTTGGTACCAGGGATCAAACTCATGACCTTGCACTTGCCAGGCAGCCGCTCTGTTGTTGAGCTATATCCCCGGCCATGACTTTCTTTTCTAAATAGACCTCAACGTATTCTTTGTTTTAAAAGAATTAAAACCCAGGCCTTGCACAGACTAGGCAAGTGTCCTACCACAGGGCTACATCCCTGGCCAATAGATAATCCTTTATTTTATTTAGAAAAAGACATCAGAATGAGGATGAAAATAACAGAACCACGATGCAGCCTGAATGAATCAACTATGGAAGACTTGACACAGTGCTTGATCATTATTCAGTAAGTCTCATTTCTTCTCATCACTGCAGTGCTATTAGTAACTACCGAGAATTCTGAGAGACTCTCGTGAGCATGACATTCAGTGTTGTCTTCAGAGAAAATGCCTGTCCCTGTCATACTGAGGGGGCTGCCATGCCCTCTCCTACCTCCTGGCCTGTTTCTGACATGTCTTTCCTTTGCCCACAGGACACTCTGTGGTTTCTGTAAGGACTGCAATCCCAGTTAGTATGGGTGCTGTGGCAGGAGGGTCACAGGTGTAATCCCAGACCAGGGTACTTAGTGAAATTCTGTCTCAAAATAAATAAATAAATTACAAAATTATGGGTGCTAGGCTATTGGTTGCCTTGACCTCTCCCTCCCTCTGGGAGCAGAACTGTGTGCCCTGCATGCTGCCACAGGCCTTAGAAAAAGCTCCCAAAGCTGTAGTTTTAACCTCTATCCAGTAAGCAAAAGGCAGTGGCTTGTTTGCCTTGCTCTGATCTAATAGCATAAGGCAGCATCTCTGAGAGAGCGTATACAGTGTACAACAACAAAAGGAAAACTACATGAAAGAATGCCAGCACCAAGAGGGTAGCCTACAGACTGAGATAAGCACACACTGTCTCAGGGCACCCCTTTTCATCCCTCCTCTTGTTATCATGCCAAGCCAGTTGTTTCCACTTAAAAGTCTTCCCTGATTTATTTTTTTGTGGTACTAGAGACAGAAGCCAGAGCCCTGAGCATGCTAGGCAAGTCTTTTTTCACTGAACTACATTCTTAGCACCCCTAATTTTCAAATCTAGTTTTAGTGTTCTGAGACAGGGTCTCACTAAATTGCCAGGTCGGCCCTGAATCTGTGATCTTCCTGCCTTAGTATTCTTAGTAGCTGGAACTGTAATTTGTGTAATTCCCAGATAAATGTATGATTATTTTGTGCTTTTTTTTTTCAGTCCTAGGGATCAAACCCAGGGCAATGCAAGTGGTAAGCAAGTGCCTTATCACTAAGCCCTTGATTTCTTTTTGAGGTACTCAGGAATAAACACAGGGATTTGCACTGAGCTGCATCTCTAGCCCTGTTATACTTTTCATTTTGAGAGAAGGTTTCACGGAGTCCAAGCTGCCTGGGCTAGGCTTGTGACTCTGCTGCTATATCCTCCCAGAGTGCTAGGATTGCAGGTATGTGCCAGCTCAGCTGGCTGCTATACTTTTTCAAACAGGCAATCACCCAGGCTGCCTGGGAGGCAGCAGGCATGTGCTGCATCCATCCGGCATAATGTACTTGCCTTTAACTACATGCTGACTTTCTTCTCTTCTTCTTTCCAGTTCTTTCCGATCATAATTTAACCTTTTCAGGCACATAAGTCCACACTGGAAACTGTTCCTATTTACAAAATAAGGGGTTATTTTACGGTGGCAATGTGAAGTCTCTTGATCCATTAGGAAGAACCACTTGCACTGCCTCACCTGTGAAAACTGTCAACCATTTTCAGCCGCCCCCGCAGGTCTTTCCTGGTCAGGTGGTCCAGCATCCGAGCATCCACAAGGCACTCCATGAAATAGCTTCGGTACTGAGGTAGGCCCAGGCTGGGCAGCCACTCATTGCCAATCCACTCGTGGTCCATGTCCCCATATGCAAGTGTCTGATTTCAACAAATGAGTGACATCAGTTCAGATTTTTAATCTAGACACCATTCTTAAAGGCTAAATGAATGACAACATTGCTTTTCATAATTTCTAAATATTTGATCTCCCATTCCTACCTTTTCAAATTCCTAAAGTTTTATCCAACAGAAATCATATTGGCAAAATTTTATGACTCATTTAGGACAATTTACCAAGCTATAGAAAAATCATACCTGTCTATAAATTCCTTTTCTGAATTAGTTTTCAATATAATAATATAGGAATAAAGAATGATCATGACTCATGAACAAGTTTGAAGAATCAATTCAAATCATTCAAATGAGCTCTAGCTGGTTTTGATTTTATTTTTAATACTTTGTCTTCCTAAATGACAAGTGTATTTGAAAATCAGGAAAAGTAAATTTAAAATGATAAATGAACAACTAATGAGACTAAGAACAAAAACAGAAAAATACAATTAAATTTAGAAGACTTCAACACTCCTCTCTTAACAACTGGTTCAATGTGCCAATCAAAAAACCAAAAAGGACTAAGAAAAGGAAAACAATCAGGAAGGCTACGGACAAAAACAATACTGTCAATCAATCTGACCCAGATATAACTTACACTTTTTCCTTTCTTTTTTTTGGGGGGGGGGTACTGGGAATTGAACTCAGGACCTCATGCTTGCAAGGCAGGTGCTGCACCACTGAGCTAAATCCCCAGCCCCTCCCCACAACCTTTAAAGACAGAGATTCCCATTATATTACCAGGATTGAGTGCAGTGGCTATGCACAAGCACTCCCTATGCAAAGAGATATTGATGCCACTCTTAGTATGATGTCCATCTTAGTTTAATGCCCAATTGTCATAGGACATTATAACAGCCAACTTCTGGGCTCAGTCTCTTGAGTTTTGGCAACTACAGGGGTGCATCATCACATCTGGCTTCAGGACGTACTTTTTTGTGGTGTGGTATGGTGGTGCATGCCTGTAAACCCAGCACTCAGGAGGCTGAGACAAAAGTATTTCGAGTTTGGGACTAGTCTGCACTACACCAAAAATAAGGAATCATGGTAAGTAGGTTTACTGACTCAGGAATAGGTTGGTTCACCAACTGAGGAGGAAAAAAAAAATCAATGAAATTTGCCCAATTACGAGATCAGCAAAGAAAGCCATGTCTCATAATACCTTATGTGGCACAAGATCCATCATTCAGTTATGAAACTCAGCATTCTAGGACGAAAGACCCACCGCCTCAATCTATTAAGGGTCATCTACCAAAAGCCTGCAGCTAAAAACCTCACAATGAGGGACCAAATGTCTCCCTGAACGGAAAGAAGCACAAGGGGTGTCCACTGTCACCATTTATGTTTGGCTGTGCTGGAGACCTGGCCACTGTAATGGCAGGAAAAACATAAAAATGGCATGAGTTGAGAAAGACATAAACCTCTCTTTATTAGTAAATGACACAATTATCATTGTTGAAAAAGTCTATGAAATAGCTATTAGGATTTATACATGAATTTAGCAAAGCTGCTGAATATACAATGAATACACAAAAATTAACATTTCTAAATATACAAAATGAACTGGAAATTGAGATTTTAGAAGTATCTTATATAATGGCACTAAACTGCATAAAACCCTTAGCAACCAATTCAACAGAATATGTCCAAGGTCTGTACAATGAAAAATAGACATGATATACAACCACTTCACAGAGAATGGTTCGTTATGCTCTCCAGCTAAGGAAGATTAAATTACATTCACAGGAATCTTAAGGTACATTGAGGAATTCTTTAAAATAAAAACTATCCATTCCCATCCATCCTCTCCTGGCTTGAACTCAGGGTTTCATACCTGTTAGGCAAGCACTCTAACCTGAGCTACATCCCCAACCCCTTACAACAGGGTCTCACTAAGCCCAGGCTGGTCTCTAAGTTGATATCTTCCAGCCTCAGCCTCCTGAGTTCTGGGATTACAGTCATAAACCACCATGCATGGCCTCCATGTTTGGTTTAGAACAATGGATTCCACTCTAGTATTTTATTTGTTCCAGTCAAGATACAAGGGATGGCTCAGCTAAGAGGAATGTTCCAATTCTAACAGAAAAGATTTCATAACTTTCTTTAAATGATGAGTGACAAATATACCACTATGGTAACCATTAAGATACCTAACAATGTTACCATGATGCAGTCCTTTGAGTCATACTTTCATGGGCCTGGGATTCACAGCCTGAATATTTGATGTTTTCTGGCCTGCTGACTATGCTCTCTTCTAATGAGTAGAAGAAATCTTCCAAATAAAAAGCTGTGCGGAAGCAAACCCTCCATATCTCTGTTTACTACTTTTGCAGTTGCTGATAATGCAGATTCTGACAGCTCAGACTCAGTTTGAGGGAGAGCCTCCTCCTCTCCCTGGCTGCCACCACAGCCTTCTGAAGAAGTGTGCAAAGGGACCTCATGCTCCAAGCATGGACAAGTCACGCTCAGTCTCAAGGTCAGTAAAATGCGAGCTCCATGAGAGTGGGACTGCAGCTGTCCTGCTCATTAATGGCTCCTGGCAGCTGGCACAGCCTTCTTACACAGCCAGTCATATCTTACATCTGATATGCGAACAGTTCTGACCACACTTGAGTGTTCCTTCCAAAGCTCAGTCAGGAGTGAGGCCACCCAGTGCCAGCACGGGCAAAGCACAATGCTTTGTGCTAGCATAGCTCTGTCCTAGCAGCTCTGTCTGGGAAAGGATGGTGGCAAAGTGCACCAAGCTTCTGCAGAACATTGCATGTGGGGTAAATCTGGAATCTTCTGCATGGGCCCCTTTTATATGGTCACTGCAAAAAGCAAATGTTAAGCTTGTTCAACTACACTTTATGTCTCTGATGCTATTTCATATTGAAGTGGTGACCATATTCTACTTTGTCTTTTGGAATATATTGAAACTTACGTAATTATGAAATGCACTGCTTAATTCACTGATGGTCATTGTTGGTCCTGTAGAGAGACCTCTAACTAGGTGAATTTAAGTGATTCTAGAGGCAGGGAGTATCTAAACCCAGGGAGGGAAACCCAGTTAGTAGCTATTCTCTTTCTTCTTAGTTTTTGTTTCTAAACTTTTTGTAATTTTGAGACAGGATTTTACTATGTAGTTTAGGCTGACCTTGAACTCACTATGTAGCCTATGCTGGTCTCAAATTTGCAACAAACATGCTTGATCAACCTCCCAAGTCCTGGGATGACCCATATGTGTCACCAAGTTCCACCTCTCTTTTTTTCAAATGAACAAACAAAACAAACAACCAAGTGCTATAACTGAACAACCTTTAGAAATGCAAACAGAAGCAACTGTTTCAAGCATCATCTTGGAATCAGCAAATTCTAATCTTAACTCATTTATACTTGCTTTCAGACATATGCTAACTCTTCTGAGCCCCCGAATACCGTGCCCCTGGGAAAAGCTGAAGAACTACAAGTCCCCTGGTACTGCACTGTGCCCACCAAAGACCCAAGAGGGCAGAGGGATGCTGGGAATTTAACCAAGTCATCTGACTCAGACACTGTAAAACATGGGGCAGAGCTTTCTGTGTAGTGAAGAGTTAGGCAGCTGAAATTCAATCTCTGTGAAGTGATAAGCCTTAATTTCTGAGAACTCCATTACTAAGATCTTTAACTCAACACAGTAGGGCAGTACTTAGTCAAATAACAATATAAAGACATAGAGGGAAAGGCCCCGTGCCAACTTTCAGGTTTAGAAGTGTATTTCATGATTTTTTTCAGCAGTACATTTTAGAACAAAACTAACCCAGCAACGAACTACATGTACATAAACTCAGGAGTTGCCTAAACCAGGAGACTTTGTATAAAAGATTCTATTCATAAATAAAACAACCTTCGTTCAAAGTAATTTCCGTGATCCCATATGGGAAATGTTCAAAATTATCCATGAGATGTAATCTTTAATCCTGTGATTTATTTGATTACATTCTTCAAGTCATTAATGATACTATGAATAAATTAAGGTGTGAAAAACACCTACTAAAGCAGGTCACACAAGTTTACATCCTCAATTGCTTTTTGTTGCTACAGAGTGAAGAAATATTATAGAAAGACTCCAACCTTATCCAGCTTCCCTCCTCATCTTCCTGATGTTAGGTTGTTAGGAATGTAAAAGAACATAACTATTAGTATTAGTGAACTTTAGTAGTGTAAGCAAATTAATTCTGCAGGGAACATGCACCTTGACTGAGTGAAAAACATTCAAAATATCAATGCCTCATGCAAAAACTCATGAAAATCCAAGAATTTCAATTTTCCATGCAAGGAGCAGACTTTTTCCATGCCAACTAACCTCATACAGTAGACTGTTGGCGTTAGACAACCACAACGCAGTGCTCAATGGAGGTCTCTCCAAAAGGAGAAGCAAATTACATCTTCTCTAAATGGGGCAAATCTATAAACTAAATTCTTGTAAAAATCTAAAAAATGCAAATATGACTATACGCTATGAGCTAATAACCTAAAAAGAACACATTATATTTGAAACAAATGCAAATTAACTTTTGTTTTCAACAAAAGACAAAGGGCCCTTTGGTCTGGAGTAGGAAACCCACTTTGGAACATGAGCTGCAGGGCTGACTGACCATCTGAGATGTGGCTGCGAGTGTTTCCATCTCTTCATGTGTTAACCAGACATTTCCTGTGGTCTAAGGTGACCCCAGTGCACCAGCCACATCCAGGGCAAGGGAAGCGTGACAGAAAGGAGAAGGACGCACATATGAGCCACAGGCACAGTAAGGAGCCACGAGGCAAAGGTCACTCTTTGCACATTTTCATTTCAGGCACCCACAGAGAAAGCCAGAGATCATTAACACAGGCTCATCCTCTTTTAAACAATAACAGTGTGGTCGGAATATAAGGAGAACAGCACACAATTTCCAGATCACATGCTTAAAAGTATGGATGAGAACATACTTTATATTTCTGAAAAGTTACTTTCCCCAGTAACTGATGATTCAATAGACAGTATTTTCAATAGTCTCACCATGTTGGAGGTATAGCTCATGATAGGGTTTTTGCCTGGCTCTCCCAAAGCACTAGGTTTAAGCCTCAGTACAGCAAAACAAAAGAATAAAACAAAACACACAGAAAGCAGTCTCACCCCAACACAGGCTAACAACAGGATGCTCTGGCCTTGGCTTCCTGTGGCTGCTTTCAGCAGATGATCCAAAGCCAGAGGAAGCCCAGGAGGCCAGGGCACAAGATAGTGAGCACAGGAGAGCCAAACAATGCAAACACCAAAAACAAAGCACTTGTCACCATCTGAGTCAAACCTGAGACTGATGGCCACTCTGCTAGCCCACTGTAAGCTCCCCAAGAACAGCAATTTCTGTGTTTGTAACTGGTGATATGGAGAGTCTTTCTGATGTGAGGTCTAGTCCTTGCCAATAGTTCAACTGAATCACAGAAGCTCCCTTTTGAAAGAGGGTTCTTAAAAGCTTTGAAAAAGCCATGCAGCATCTTCATTTCTACAAAGCCCACATTAATGTGGAAATAGCTGCAGAACAGACTGATACTGGTTACAAAACATTCCACCAAGGGAAAGTGTTCTTTGGCCATACGTTAAAAAAAAAAAAAAAGGCTTATTGTTCATTTTCATAATTCTCTAACAACAAAATCTTCACACTTTTTTGTGTATAAAGTTACTGTAGGCAGACCTTGCTCTGCTGCTCAGAAGGATGTCTACACAGCTCTAAGAGTTTGTTGAACATCTAAATGAAAAACCCCTGAACTTTGCAACTTAAGAGCTGGCCTGCTCTTCCCTTCTAATAACCACCAATGTTTCATCAGAAGAGTCACCAGGAAGCTCTTTGAGGGCTCTTCACTACTCCCCAAGTGGACAGCATCTTTGTGAGCACAGGCATGGTTGGACAGACACATGCAGCTCCCAAGACCCAGAGCACCTGCTGGTGCCGTGACACACAACCACAGTGCATCTAGGAAACTCGGCATTTTTCCTCCTTTAGTTCTTGTAGGGAAAAAAAGACATCCACAAAGAAGAGAAGCTTAGAACTGTCCAGGAACCAGTGGATTTCTGGGAGGTGACCACCCCTTGTTAGCATGTCAACTGTATGTCAGTGGCACCTCTGGACTGCCACAAATTACAGTTACTCTGTAAGTCCCGCCTATATGTGCAGTGATGCAGATGCACTCACACGCACAAGACTGAAGGAAAGAAGCCACACACAACAAAGTAAGGGCAGCCCAACCTAGTTTATAGCCAAGGGGCCATAGCCAGGTGCTTATTTATGCCCGGGGATTGTATGCAAGGGTTTATACATTCCTGGGCTTATCTGTATATTTTGCTACCTGTATACTTGAAGAAAAACAATATTTTCCGCATATAATTTGCTTAGCAAGTACCTTTATATACCGTACAAGTACTAATTATTGTTTGAACTATGAAATAGAAATCAAAGTTCAAGGATGAAATGCTACTTAAAATGTTAACTTTTCCTTCCTCAAGAGGTCCTTACACTTACTCAGTTTTGATAAATTCATACGTACATTTGTGACAATCAATTTTCTACCTTTCAAAAAGCCTTCTTTCTTAAAGAAGGCCTTTCTAACCAAGTTTTATTCATTTATTTAATTATTTATTTTTTGGTCTTTTCTGAAACGGGATCTCATTACTCAGTTCAAGCTGCTCACACTGTAACCCACTGGCCTAGAACTCACAGTGATCCTCCCACCTCAGCCTTCTGAGTGCTGGAACTACAGGCATGTGCCACCACGCCTGGCTTTAACCACACTTTTACACAAGCAGTTCACACATTTTCTTTGGATCACTCAACCCCTCCAAGTTAGGGGTTGTACTATGCTTTCCTGAAATTTTAAGTTGAAACCACCCTGTATGATTAGGAAGCAGCACGGAAACATTAGCAGGCTACTGCTTTTGTGGGCTCTGCCTTCCTCCTCCACAGAGGGCACACAGAGCCTCTGTGAACATACCTTTTTCAATGTGGGTGGAGCCGAAGGGCTGGTGAGCCACAGGGTTTCCTGGATGGCCAGCCGCAGCTTCAGTCTGTGCAGAGGGTGGCTGATGCCAATCTCTTGCTGGATCTGTCTGTCTGACAGAGCTGACATGATGGCCCCACTTTTCACATTTGCTCTGCAGGCAGCCACATAGCAAGCAGGCATCCCAACCCAGAGCTAGAAAGAAGAATGAAAAGACCAGAACATCAGGTAGAGACAGGAGATGCATGACAAGCTTGTGTCATGTAGCATAGGTCTCTGTAGTAAAGGGATGTACCTCCAGCCATTCAACCACGGTTGGCCCGTCCCACTGTGAAAATGGTAAGCCTTGCCTCTGGGCTTCCTCCAGCAACTCAGGCCTGTGAAAAAGAAGACATTCAAATTAAAGAAGCACTGTTACACATCCAACAAGTTAATGGAACAGTCTCTGAGCATTTTCAAAAGTATAACACATATTCTCAGTTCCTTTTATCTTCTACAGTTTTAATGTTATTAACATCATCCTTGTAATGACAGTCACACACATACTATGGAGAACGCCTGAGTAAATAAAAAATGCTACAGAGTTCTCTTGATTCCCAGTCAAATCACCATTACTTCAGAGAATTGAAGAATTACTACCAACTTATAAAACTCAAGCAGAATTTTCATATCCAAGGTAGTAAGACAATTAGGGGAAAACATGAAACCCTACTTCAACAATGAAGAAACAGTATCTAGGAAGAGGAAACCACACCTCAGTTGAGACATCAGTGCCTAATTTTGTGAGAGACTTTAAAAAACAGTGTTTTTGGGGGGTGGTTGTGGTTTGGGGAATGTTGAGACAAAGTCTTGCTATGTATGTAGTCCAGGTTGGCCTCAAACTCTGTGTAACCAGTCTCCCCCAGTGCTTGGATTATAGATGTGTTTCATACTCCCAGCTGTAATGCAGACTTTTAACCACAAAAAGATTATCGTCTAATACAGCAAACAAGTAACAGAGGACAGTTTCTATTGTACACTGCTCTTTAAGTAAACGGGTACTTGATAAGTCACTGGGTCATTCTGTGGTTTTAACCCATTGATCTCTTCTTTAGCCAGCCATTCAACACCTCCTTCAATGCCGAATGTATCACCAGCACAGAAACTCATGCAATACCAAGGCAGTACTGCAGGGAAGTGGGTAGGTGAGTCTTGCATGCACTCCGTAATGTGATTTGAGGTTTCATATATGCTTTATTTCTAAAGACTCAAGTTACACTTTTACTATACTAACATCTCTAAAAGTGATTTGTGTAACACAGTTATGTGAAACAGTAACATTGTAAGCATGGTAAGTCTGACATTAGAACACAAAGGACAAGTATGTTTCAGATACACAAAAACCCTAGTCAGTCTCAGTCAATCAGTCTCTCTTCCCCTTTTCTTTCTTTTGGAAACTTATGTTCCTAAGTAAAATGTTTCATATACAATTTCAACTAAGAGTTCCTTAAGTTACCGCTAAGCTTACAGGAACAATCACCAGGGAGTAACTGTACCAGAGAAGGCAGCAAATGTGTTATCTCAGATGAAACAAGAAAAAAACAAAAAAAAGAAGAAGAAGAAGAACAACAACAACAATTTTCTAGTTGAAACAAGCAAAGCTATTCACAGAGAAACAGATCAGCAGAAGTGTGCTCCTAAGTACAAGAAGTAGTAGGCTACTGTCATGGTTTATGTCTGTGGCCCCCAGGCCTCATGCATTTGCATTGTGCATTTGTGATGGTTCATTGTCTAGTGCTTGGATTCATGGTGTCAGTGTTACACCCACATAAGAGTGGAGCCAGGATATGATGTAATGGTAGGAAGAAAGTGTATCTTGCTCTTTGCCTGTTCCTACTTGCTGTTTGCAGCCACCATGAACTGTGACCCAGCCATGCCCACCTGCCTTGGAGCCAACTGAGTGTGGACTGAAACCTCCAAAAACTGTAAGAAATAAACTTTTCCTTTCCAAACTTGGGCTTCAGGTATTTTGTCTCAGCAATGAGTAAAAAGTAACTAAGACAGAATTTGGTACCGAAGAATGGGGTTGTTTGCTGTGACTATACCTTACCATGTTTTTCAAGAAATGGCTTTGGAAATGGCTTGTGGGCAGAGTTTGGAAAGGTTTGGATGTGTTGCCTGGATGCATAGAGCTAGAGCAGCTTAGGCAGTTCTGTAGAGGAGATAGTGGTCACAGCTCAGGAGACCAGAAGGCTGATAGGAAGCCTGATGGTAAAGACCAGGCCTGGGAGATTTCTGCTGGGAAGAAGGACTGCAGTGGTTGTTGGACTCCCCATGATGTGAGTTATGGGTTGGCAGAAAGTTGTCTACATTTTGCTCATGTCCAGAGACTTTGCCTGAGACTGAAACAAAGGGCAATGGACTGATTAATCTTGAAAAAGAAATTAAAAAGCAATCAAATGTTGAGTCTGTGGCATGGCTACTGTAGAGGGCTTTTAGCCAGCTTTATGTTGCAAATCAAGAGGAAAGAGCCCAGCGGGATAATTTGCAATACTGTGAGTTTGGCCAGAAAGAATATTTCAGGAAGGCTGTGGATTGTAAAGACAGTGGAGATTCTGATGGCTGAGGGAAAACAGAGAAATAAGAAAGATGGGCCGGGGGCATCCCAGGAAGCAGGTCCCCACCCTGTGCAGCCTCACTGCAAAGGTAAAATAATTTTTTCAGAGGAGAAAGCTGCAGAGCACCAGGTTCCAGAATGGCGACAGAGACCACATGAGTTTCCAGAATGGTGACAGGCCACATGAGGTTGCAGAATGGTGGCAACATAGAGAAGCTTTTCCTCACAATCAGTTAAACAGAGCCCTGTGATCCAGGCAACTGACCCCTACAGCCAAGAGAGAGAAAAGCCTGAGTACTGCTCTAGCTAGCAGCAAACCTTGGCAACATCCACATGGTGCTAATCTTAGGTGCTAGGAAAATGCACAAATTCTGAGGGTAAGATGGCTTCTACCTCTATTGCAAAGGGCCTGGGAGGCCAAGCTGTGTGCCCCTGAGAGGGCAATTTGTGAAGACATAAAGGTGAAGCCAAAGGTGCAGTGGAGACCCCAAAAGTTTGGAAAAGCCAGAAACATGGACGATCCAAGGAAAGCTCCAAAAAGCAAGCAGAGAGGATTTAAGAGAAAAGCTGCAGGAGGTGAAATCCCTGGAAGTGCCTTGGGGGTGGAATCACACAAGCCTTTTGGAGCTTGTAACCATATTGCTTCAGATGCAGAGCAAGGAACTCTAGGACTTAATGTTCATCCTGCTGGATGTTGGATTTGCTTTGTTTCCAATGCTTTATATTCCCCTGTTTGTAACTTTTGGAATAGTAATGTTTATTTTGTGCCTTTGCATTTGAGAAATGTTTAAACTTGTTTCATTTGTACAGGGGTTACAGTTAAGAGTTTGCCATAGATCATGGAGGAGACATGGGACTTGGACTGTTCAGCAATGCTGAAACTTAAGACTTTGGAAACTCTTGGTGGTGGACTAAATGTCTTTTGTATAAAGGATGTACAAGAGTCCTGGGGGCCAGGGGAGGAATGTCATGGTTTATGTCTGTGGGCCCCCAGGCTTCATGTATTTGTATTGTGCATTTGTGATGGTTTATTGTTAGTGCTTGGATTGATGGTGTCAGTGCTATACCCACAGAGGGGTGGAGCCAGGATGTAATGTAATGGCAGGGAGAAGGTGTGTCTTGCTCTTTGCCTGTTCCTGCTTGCTGTTTGCAGCCACCATGAACTGTGGCCCAGCCATGCCCTGGAGCCAACTGAGTGTGTGAAACCTCCAAAAACTGTAAGAAATAAACCTTTCCTTTCCCAACTTGGCCTTTAGGTATTTTGTCTCAGCAATGAGTAAAAAGTAACTAAGACAGCTACCAAACCTGGCTACAGAGCTGCTATGACTCATTTAAGGAAACAAGAAACACACACACACACACACACACACAGAAAGAGAGAGTGTGTGACAAACATACAGAGAGACAGACAGACAGACAGACAGACAGACAGACTGACTGACCCCAAGAAGCAGTGTAAATCCATTTCTGGGTAAAGATCTGAAATTCTGTAATATTAAGTGAGGGTCTGTCCTGGATGCTCTGGCCAGGCCAGGGAAGAGGAAGACTACTGCTGTAGGTCAGAAGCACTTCTAGATTATGTGCCTATTCAAATAGACTAAGTAAGAACTATGTCCTCAGTAGTCTAAAAATGATTTTGTTGGTGTTTTCATTATTTTTGATGGTACTGGGGATGGAACCAAGCACTCATTGAACTAAACCGCCAGCCATTTGTACTATACTTTTTATCTTGAGACAGTTTCTTAAGTTGCCTAGAACAATGGTATTGTCATCATAAATGACCCTCCTGCCTGGACCTCCCAGGTAGCTCGGATGATTAAAGGTACATACCACTGCACAGCTGTAATTTGTGAAAGTACATACCAGACATGTACTGCAAACAAGAACAAGGCCCACTACCTGAAGCTTGGTATAAACTGCTGTTGCCTTTACATCCTTCCTCCTCCTTACACCTGCATCCAGATGCAGCAGTGGGAGTGGTGTGAAGGTAGCAGAAGTAGGATGATGCATTCAAAAGTCATGGGACGTTAGGAAATAACACAGAAGACCCTGGCTGGGGAGTTGGCCCAAGTTCCACCTACAGGTAGCTACACCTCCCCTACCAGGTAGTTTGTGGACTACGAGATTGGGCACCTAACCTTGGTTAACACGATAGGTGGGCACATTAGAGTCCAGTTTTCTTGAGAGTTGTTCCCAAAAGTGTACAGAAGGATCCTGTGTTAAGATGCAGAATCTGGAGCCTGCAGACACTTCTGCGCACCTCTACTCTGGCTCTTTGCAATGTTTGGTGATATGCACAACTACCTTCCTTTTACACTGGGTATTGAAACTGGATCTCTTTTGCTTGCTACTGCACATACTTAGTACAGACACCCATTTGTCCAAATCTGTGACCTCCAAGAACTAAATGGCTTCACAGTGTTTACTCACCTACCTGACTATCCACTTAGGTAAGGTTATCCGTCTACCCATATGATTAGTTTGGAATAGGAGAACCACCTATTTCCTCCCCCTCTACTAAAGCTGCAAACATTTAAGCTTTAGCAACATTCATTCTTTTCTTGCTCAACTTCCCAAATAATAACTCTTCCAGCTCTGAGCCCCAAAGCTTCAAGCAAGGTAATCAAGCTGGGTATGGTGGCATCATCTATAATCCAGCATGTGGGAGATGAAGGCAAGAGGATTACCATGAATTCAAGGCTAGTCTGGACTACATAAGGAGCCCCCAGGGGAAAAAAAGGAAAAATTTAAAAAGAGCAAATAAAAACATAGTAACCAGTG